CCGTTCAGAATCAAGTGACATTTTATTTAACTTATAGATTCATTCTCTCTTCATCCGTTAAATACGATTGTTTAGGCCTGGTTCCGGACGACTTGGATTAAATCTTGAAGACTGTATTACGGTACAATATACTTTAAAAAACCATAGTTTACCTAATGTGGGAAAAGTATTATATGAAGCGTTGCTTGTGACAAATGCTTCCATTAGCTAAGAAAACGTCTTCGTTTTTCTTCTAGGCCACTCAATTTGGGGTATTTTTCTCGATTTTCCATGCATACGTAAACGAAATGCTTTACCTTAAATGCTGCAAGCAAAGTAAATTGAGAACTAAGATCGAAATGTGGAGATCAAGATTATGGGGTATTTAGCATGGAGTACTCCTATTACTGCATAGCTGTTTTGACCTTATTTTCACAACTTAATCACATTTTTGCAAAGACCTTGATTAACGTAACTCGTACTACGTCCTCTGACATCGCTACCAAATCTTCCTCTTGCTGAAAACATTTGGCTGGGTATAATTCCAGGCATCAATTAGGCATGGTAGCCCTGATCGTCAATGAGCAGCGTCGATCTCAATGCCGAACGACACGTCTTCATTTAAGAATGAAGCCAATTCTAACTGCTAGCTTTCTGTTGGACGATTATGCTACCAATATTCCAACTTCGCCTACCTGCTCTGCCCAGTAATTCTGTATCCTAGGTTTATCAATGTCTTGACAAGCTGTACGTTGGGCCGTTGTATCCTTCAAACAAAGAATGTGCCATTTAGTAGACGCTCCATTTTTGAAGTTATTTTTAGTATAGTAGATGTGTACCCACTTAAGCTATACAAACATAACATAATACAATAACCTTATATAACTTTATTCAAATCTGCGAGCGAGTTCATTTGGGTCATCGAGAAATCCGGGTAACCTTCGTCGGACCATCTGGGGCCGAGAGGAAGGCATTTTCGTCCATCTATTATATTTATCCTCTTGCTCTCCGTCTTCGAAGTGACTTTCGCTTTCAAAGTCGCCCAGCTCAAGTTCGTCCCTGGCATCGGCAAATACAGATGGGTCGAAGGCCAAGGCCCAGTCGGCCTGAGATGTGGAGCGCCGACGAGCCGCTGACTCTTCGTGGAAAAGATAGGCGCTCGGTTGACCAAGCCCGAACCGCGCTGAAAC